GGAATTGAATCCAAAGAAGGAAAGCGAGGTGATTGAGGGAGCGTTGTCACGACCATATGTGCTAATTCCATGATATGTTGTACTTCCTCCCTTAAAGACTCTATCTCCTGGGCCATCCTGTCCACGTGTTCATCATTCTTGGTATCATCCTTCTCTCCCGATCACCCCGGGCTGTCGGCTATGACCTGAGAATGTTCAGTCGGGTTTTTTATAGCTGGCATCTTTCCATTTGATCTTAGATTGTATGGTGGTTCCGCCCGTTTTGGGTCGACACAAACCAACTTTCTTTTTGGGGACTAATAATAAAGTAAAAAACAAGAAAGAAAAAGAAAAAGAAACAGAAGTTAGTTTCTTCATTTATACAAGCAGGAAATCACACAGAGCAATTAATTCACGTATTAAGGCCAATGCATTTTCCTATAATTTGTGGGTTCTCTCATTACTGGAGGTAGGCCCAAATCGCAGATGTTTGACAAACAATTAGACTTCACACATTTAGATTTGAAGCAAGTTTGTTTTCATTGATAATGTATGGACTGAGATAAGTGGGAACAAAGATTACATCACTGTTTCTGATATTCATAGAACTGCATAGTCTTAAACAACTCGCCCTTTAGAAAAGTAAGAAAAACTGAGGATAAGGGTATAAAGTGGGAAAGCAGGGGAAATCAACCAACGTCTAGCGACCATCCCCAAAATCGTTTCCCATCTCCTCTTCTTCTTCGGGCTCTTCCTCCGGATCTTCTTCAAACTCCTCCTCGTCATTGTTGAACTCAGACCCTTCCTCTGGATCTTCTTCTGGATCTACCCCAGACTCTATTTGAATGCACTCCACTACCCGGTCATCGTCTTCCGCAGGTGGAAACATATGATCGATGGATCCTGGGATCACTTGACGGTGCATTGAGGTAGTCACAAGGTAATATGGCAGAATCTCATGGTAGATTTGCAAAGTAGCACTGCGTCCTCCAGCCAGGCTATACCCTCTCTTCTTGGTCGGGCTAGCTTGTCTTCCTCGTTGATCCAGACATAATACTCCGGAGTACACCACGAGTTTTGACCCATCGGCATTGTGACCAGATCGTTCCACTCTTCTTGGAGCCTTCTTTTCCTAGGAATTGGAATTTGTCCGTTGTACTCGTCCTCATATAGCATTGTTCTCGTCCATATAGGCACATCCTGGATCATTCCGAACTGTCTAAGAACCCGCAGGGTGAGTATGGTTGGATGCTCACAAGTCCAATTAGCTCAATGAAGTATTTATGAGGAGTCCTTAAGATTGCCCTCCCACATAACCATGATAGCTTCCAGTTGACCCGTTCTCCACTTAGAATAGTCAGCATTTCCCTCCACTCTTCTTGCCCATTTGGGAAAACCCAATGTCTCATCCTCTTGTTGTGGTTGCGGATCATGTTGTTGACGCCAACAAAGTAGTCAATGGTGGCCTCTCGCTGGAAGAAATGTTCTGTGGCCCAGATTTGAAGTAGAAAGTTACAACCCTTAAAGAAATAATACCCTCGTGCACATGCAGACAAAGCCCTTAGAATCTCAGCCAGCACCATCGGCACCAAAGTAGCTTGAAGGTTACCACGGAAGGTTGCCAGAACCATGGGTAATAAGTTGATATTGATCCGACCCCTCCTCTTCGGGAAGACCAATAATCCCAACAATGCCAATGAGAAAGTGATAGGCTCAAGACTCTCCCACGTTGCTTGATCACATTGAAACTCTCCTGAATACCACTCATAGCTTTCGCAATGTCCAAATCTATCGAACAGCTGATATAGGCTCACCAATTCATCCTCGATATTTCTCGGACCTCGACTGTTAGCCAGACCCAAAGCATCCAAGAACCTATAACCGGGCATAGTGACTGGTAGTATTAGCTTCCTTCTTATGAATGACAGCTCCGTGAAACTAGTAACTTCTTCCAATGTCGGTACTAACTCACAGTCGGCAAACTTGAACACCATCTTATCCGGATCCCAGAACTCTATCAGCAGGCGAGTGAGCACCCTGTCTGCTCGGATGTTTAGCAATGCGATCAGTACCCCTAGGTGTATCCAAACCTCATCTCCGTGTTCCCGGTGAATGTTCTTCCACCACTGCTTTAACTTGTGTGGCGCTCCCATCACTATGTTAATCTAGGGGATATTTTGGTTTATTTCCATTTTCTGAAGTGGGTAAAGAAAGGTTTTGGTAAGTGTTTGCTTTGGATCTTTAAGTGTCTCATCGGGTTTGTTCATCTTTCTACAAAAGTTATGTCGTTGGGTGCATGACTCGTTGATATTAGGGAGGTTTTCCTAATTATGTGTCGATGTTAAGGACCGACTCACCTAAGGTTTATGCAATATGGCCTATTTTGCTAGAGCAGAGTATTTTCTACTTTTGAGTTGGACCGAAGACTTTGAGAAGTTATGTCAGTTGATCAGACAAAGCCATTCTCTTAAACTAGAGAGTTTTTAAAAGTAGGTTCGGAGGGGTGTAAAAGATAGCCCTCGTGTGCCATTATGTATGATAGTGTACGGACAAGACTCGATAGGAAGAAATGTGATGACAATATATGTAAAGCAGTAACAGATAAGGGTGTAGCAACAATAAACATGATAATAAGCATAGACCAAATAAAGCAGGTAAAAAAGTAATTGAAAATTTAGCTACAATTAAAACAATGTATAAACAAATATAAGTGCCAATTTCAGTCTACGTCTGCTAAGGTTAGAACCTAAGTGTGAATCCTCAGCAGAGTCTCTATATTGTTGCACCCTATTTTGTACTAGCCAAAACAAGATTCAACTTGTGATTTCTCTGTTGTTGATGAAATAGAGTCGCCACCTAATAATTAAAGGTATACTAGGGTTAATTACGAAAGGTTATATTCTTTATTAGTCTGCTAACCGGTGAGATTATGGGTAAGGGTTCGTATTCTTCTAAGGTAAAAGTGTTAGGCACCCCTTAAAATTTACCTGAGGTAGCTCCATAGGACATATACTAGATTTGGAATCAATTGTTTGTACTATACCTTAACTAGTGTTCACAGGGTATAGCTTATCATATATTAGGACATGATATCTATAAGGGAAGAGTATGGTTTAAAGAGGGTGGATTTAAAGAAAAAGCCTTTAGAAAATTAGTGTTAGTATATATAAACTTGAAAAGAACTCTGGGAGATGGAACATTTGTATAAAATGTGTAAAATGGGAGCTAAGTTAAAGCACCTTGTTTCCTAAATCATGGATGTTCATACTATCCTAATGTGATGAAAGTGTTATAAAAAATGATCCTAAAATATATCTTGGTTTTAAAGTAGAAAACTATTTGAAAGCCTTTATTTTAGGGCAGCAGCACCTTAATCTTTTCGAAATATTTGATCCCCTTTTTAGAAGATTTAAAATCGCTACTCAGTTCTGGTTTTTCTTTTTGAAAGAGGGACTACCACCTTCGTTATCTTTGGGTTTCAAAAATCTTTAAGTAAAAGGTTAGCAAGGCATAATGAATTGATAACAAGCTCGCGATTAGTGGTTATAGAATTAATTGCTAACTAATGCCTCTTTTAATCCTACATTCTTTAAGGCTTGCCTAAGTTATTTTATGTGAGTTAAAGGATAAAGTAAAGCATTCAATCCAATATACAATTATCATATACATGTGAGATAAAACAACAGGAAACATAGCAAAGAATAACGATATAGCGTAACTGGAGAATAACAAAAACAGCGAATAAAGAAACGAAGGGAAAGACGTGACTTTGGGAGGTTTGGGCCTCGAAGAAGCAGGCTCATCAGTAACAGGGATGAGCAACATGAGCAACAGCTAACTCTAAACCTTCTGAGACATAGCAAGGCAAGACTTGGGCCTGAGTTCTTAAAGAACTCAGCACACCCAAATCATTGTACATATTAAAAAAAAAGAAGAGAAAGTTATTAGAATAACAATACTCTATACATATCCATATAAAATTTGTAAGCAAATAATAAAAGTAAAGATCACTGGCAATATTTAAATACTAAGGAAAGTCATACTAGTGTGGAGATTATGCATAGTAAATGATCCATATTGAACACCTTTCGTTCTCATTAAACATCAAACCCAAAGAGAGTAATAAGTGTCAATGAATTAAAAGCTAAGAACAGAATTCTACTCAATACCGATGCCCCCTTTGAATCCCCCGATACTTCAAAGTTCCCAAGGGTCTCAAGGCCCAGGGCAATGCTTGTGCCAAGAAGAGCAGCCCAACCTAGAGTTAAACTCTGCTCCCACAAATGCATACTCCTACTTATCAGAATATCTTAGGAAAAACTCATAGAGACAGTATGACTATACTTCAGTATTAAGTGAGTGAAACGCATATTGAATATGTTTAAAAGTCAAGTTCTAAGAACATATGGAGGCAGGAACACTTGTACTACTGTTGCTAAAGAACCAAACAACTGGAGTCATATGACCCATGGACAGATAAGACATATAGTTTTAGAGCTATAACACCAAAGGCTATTGTCCTAATGGATTGATCACAGGTTAGTTCAACATTAGATATTATCATGAGCATACACATAAATGGATAACACCACTTGAATCCCTTTGCACTACAACAAAAAGGGTATTTAGCAGCAATAAACTAATTGCCGCTAATTTATTCACAGAAGGCAAATATTAGCGGCCAATAAATATTAACCGGTAATTAGTGTACTTTTAATGGCCATTCAAGAGAATAGACGGGAAAGCTATTATTTTTACTTTTAATATTGCCTCCAATTTTTATTTTTCGCTAAATCATCTCCCGCCTAAATCTCTCAACTTAACGTAAAGACTACAAAAAAAAAAAAAAGACATAAATTACTTTAACTTAAAAACCCTTACACAATCTCTCCGCAAGCCATCCAAGAGCAAAATTGACGGCCACTTTCTTAACCAAAAAAGTAACCCTCATATTATACAATCTCATTTGTAAGCCATTTAAGAGCAAAATTGCCGACCACATTCTCAACCAAAAAGTAAGTTTCTTTCTTTATCTTTGATGTTTTATTGTATGGGTCTTTCTCTATCTTTGATTTTATTGTATGGGTGTTGGGTTGAAAATTGCCAATTAGTTGGGTTGAAAAAACTCATAGTATACAAATCGTATCCGCAACCAAAACCGCAAGCCGTCAATAAGTTTCTCTCTCTAATCTGTAGTGTTTGATTGCGTGGGTGTTGGGTTGATGAAAATTGCTTACTGGTTGGGTCTATGGCTTCGATTTGTCAAAGTTCAATTCGCTGAATGAGTAAAATCTTTATATCTTTTCTAATTTAGTATTGACGAATCTATGGCATTGATTTTGAATTAAACAAAATTTTAATTTTTATAGCATATCTTTTTCATATGGAATTATTCTTACAGTTATTTAACTTTATTTTTCCTATATTCTGGATCAATAGTTCATTAATTTTTACAAATAAATCTTTTTCTTTCAATGTAAGTCATTTTATAGAAGATGCATGTTAGTCATCTATGTATTTTTCATGGTTGTATTGGTTGATCATTGGATGTTTGAGTGGATTCTTTGTGATTTTTTTACTTATATTTTGTTGGTTGTAGCCTTGCATTGCAATATGCTAAGGTGTTATTATCATTGGACAATTATTTTTTCTGGTGCATCAATACCTCTTATCTCTAGAACTATCTATATCGCAAGGCTTTGTTTGTACGCATGAATCGCTACTTGTTTGTTTTTCACAGCTAGAGATAAGGGGGATGCTTCCTCCTATTTCGCATGTGACCTACTGATCTGTTGGAGTTAATCTGGTACTAGTATAACTTAATGCAGCTAGATAATTTCTTCATTTTGGAAAAGGAACTATGCAAACTAGAGGTCGCAATCAACTGGTAATTGAACAAAATGATGATGAATATGTGCGACCTTATATTGAGCAATTGATGGATGGTCAAACCTACTTTAGAGCCCAACCATATATTGAGCAGTTGATGGATGATCAGAACTACTCTTAAGCCCAAGCACACGATGGTCAATCTAATGAGTCGAATAGTTCTGCTGGTGGCACTGAGATTCAACATAATGACGATTCAGGTAATACCTTTTTAGTATTGCAATCTGTTGCTTTTGAAGTATAGATTACAGTACAACTCAAAAAAAGAGTTCACTTTATATCAATTGCACATTTCCAGAAATTAAATTTCTCCTGATATCTTTTTATCAAGTGAAATTGCTTTAGTACAGTTCTCTTCAGCTTGTTGAAAGCTGCAAGTGAAATTACTCAGTAAAAATATTAGACCATCAAGCACTGAAGAAGTAGTTCTACATGATTTTTTATCATACCATCCCAATTATAAGTAAGCAGCTACCTGATGCAATAGTATGTGGCCTTATCATTCAATTTTATTGCTTCTATGTAGTAGCTCACGGCTTTGTTCCACTACTTTCCCTTATATGCAGTATTTCCCTATACAGAGCACCATGATAAATTAGAAGCACATACTAATGAAAGAACTCATAACTTTCAGAAGGTAGTAAAGTGAATATGAAAAAAAACAACAATGTTTAATAATGAAGTTGTCACATTCTGCTTTAATGAAGTGTGAGACTAATCAAGTTTGTACGAAAAATAATTTTGGCAGGTGCATGGTTCTTATTTCTTAATCTATGCAAATTGAACATTGCTGTTTTTTTTGGGGTTATTCTGACGTTTATAGTAATATTCATGATTTACTAGTCTCTTTCAGTAGCGTAATGCTAACGTATCTTGAGTTAGGATTCTTGAAATCATCATATGATTCATATATTTTTCATTCTAGGTAATTCGGAAGCAAGAAAGGTTCGTGGGCCTACTTTACTAAAAGATATTTGGAAACTTCCGTCGGGGAAGACCATTGATGTACCGTTTAATAATCGTAACCAAGCTATTGGGAAAGAGGGTGGAAAGCTTGCTGGCTTTCTAGGAATTATTGCCAGAACTCCAGAACTAACACCTCTACATGTAGATGATTGGAGAAATTTTAACAAGGAGGAAAAGAAGAAATTGGTGGGAAGGCGATGTATATTCCCAGGTGTTGGGAAATGAAAATAGTGGGTATATTTGTGATTTAGGACTTGGTCCAACTTCTTTTGTTCTATGGGTTAGGTCTTCCTTGGGAAATATTATTACAGAGGATTCGTCTAATGAGGTTATACAAATGTTAGAACGGGAGATAATTGAGCTAAAGGAGAAACAAAATGGAGAAATGAATTTGATGAAAGAAAATCAGGAAAAGATGCAATTAGAATTACTCCAAATGAGACAACTCGTGCGCAAATATGCTCCTACTATATTTATGCCTCAAAATAGCAATAGCACCTCAGCTGAACAGATAACTTGATTTCATAAGCTTTAGATATTTTTAATGAAAGTTTAATTATTTAAAAGTATTGTTACCTAAAGTGTTAATATTTATTAGATCCCTGACGTCAACAGTGGACATGAACGAGTACCACAAATATCAAGGATACCTAGTGTTGCTGAAAATACCCAACCTTCTCATGGTACTACCCATCTTTATCCTTCGGCACTATTGTTTGAGTTCTTTTTTTTTTAATTAATTTGTTCTAGTATTTCGGCTTACCTTAGATGCTTCTTGCTTTTATATATTATTTTTTTTTACTGTTGTTGATGTCGTAAGGTTGTGATAGTAGTGAATCATTTTAAAGAAAATATTTTTTCTGATTGTGATTATATGTGTAATATTATTATACCACATAGTGAAAAATATATTTATTTATTCTGTTAAATGGACATCATTTTATGTCTTTAAATCAATTCATATTTGTCTTCTTGAATTCTTGGGATGGTTGACAAACCTATAGCCTTAAACCTGAAAGTCAATCACAACTTCACCCATTTACAACAAGCAGCACCCATAAGCACTAGAGATGGGAGCGACTGCACAAGAGCCACCTGCAGTTGCAATGACTGAGATGTCGGCGTAGAGTTATAAATTTAAGAAGTGATAATTCCTAACGAGTTTTCCTTTCTGTTGTTACTGATGGGATGAATGGATTTAAGAAGCAAGTCGATGTCATCTCTTCAAGTGGTTTAAGAGGATCTTTATTTTTTCCTCTTGCCATGTCTTGTGTTGCATTACAATAACATAGGTTTGGTTTATTACTTTCTATGACACCTTGTCCATTGCTTCTATCCAAGCAAAAGTTTGTAAATTGCTTGGCAATCTTCTGTCTTTGAAATTATAAATAGATGGTATCTAACTTCTGATCTTTATACTAACATTGCATACTCTATTTTGAATCTTATGCCACTAGCCCTTGACGATTTTAGTTATTAAAATAAATACGAAGATGATTTGTGACTTTTCTTTTAGTTCCATAGATGTTAAGAAAGTTAAATAGAATGTTCAAAAAAAAAATGATTATTTAATTTATGTTGTATGAGAAAACGTTTTCTTTCTAGATGCATAGTCAATTATGAAATGTGGGTGGATTTAATGAAACCTTTCTGCATCTTGTGAAGCCTGTGTGTTGAGTCTTTGTTGGGTAAGTTTGAATCTCCAACAATTGCACAAAACATTTGCATTTCTTGAGACCAGATGCTGGTAAATATCCTTTTTCGATAAGGTAATGTAAATTTCATTAAAAATGTACCAAGAAGATACCGAAAGCATATAAAACTTCTTTTTAATTCTCCAAGCTAATACTCTGCTTTTGATATTTTTTTGTTTCTTCTCTGTCATAACAACGAAAGAAACTTTCTTTCATTATTTGCACATCCATTTTGCTCGCCTATTAATCCATCTAGTTGTTTCTGCTTATAAATGTTAGGTGAGTGAGTTGGGTGAAAAAGAATCTGACAGAGATGGAGTCTTTAAGATATTTTTTCACATTATATTTTATCTTTTGACATAGTTAATTTATAATTTCAGGTCATACAGTCTGATGTTCGATACTTTTACGGGTGGAAGATTTCAATATGATTAAAAGTTGCGAAAATAATTTGAAGACTATCATTTAATGACATTAGCTATTTGTGAGGATTACTTTTAATGACATTAGCTATTTAGTTCAGACAATATTAGTTTATTTTATTAATATTTTTGATTAGTACTTACTTTTGTTTGTTAGGATTTAATGAGATATATTATATTTTTTGAATTAATATTAATATATGTTGTTGTTTGGATCATATTTTGGACGAATGTCGCAACTATTATTAATGGTTAAGATATTTCTATAAAGGATATTGTAGCTATTATAATTGCCGGAAAATAATTATTATTAAAAATATTGACTTTTAGTGGCAATTTAGTAGAATATATCAGCCATTAAAATGGACGCTAAAAGGGAAAACTAAGATATTTTTCAAAAGGGATATTATAGCCATTCTAATTGACACAACACAATTGTCGTTAAACATAAGAACTTTTAGCAGCAATTATTTTAAATTTAGTGACTATATAAATGGATGTTAAAGGAGCATAATTAGCCGTTTTGGATTGGGTTTAGCAGCCATCATAATTGCCGTAAATAATTATCTTTAAAGCTTATAGTTTTTAGCGGCAATAATTTATATTGTTTACCAGCGTTTGTAACAATCGCCGCTAAAGGCTTTACCGACCCCGACATCAGCGGTTAAATAATAATGGCCAGTAAAGGATATAACGATAATTGTTATTGCCGCTAATGGCCTTTCTTATTGCCGCTAAATCCCCTTTTTGTTGTAGTGTTGGAATTCTCAATGAAGATTCACACAATGATATAGGCAAGTTATTATACTCAATAAGTAATAACAAAAAGGGTTCTCCTATACCAGATTCAATCCAGAATGACAGGGGAAAGAGAGGACTGAGTATAATTTCAAAACAGTATTCAAAATATGAAGTCATGAGGGATAGACAAAGGTTCATGCCAAACTTCCACACATACAAAGACTTCAATCAAAACTGTGGCCTCACAAGACAAGATGAGTCTCGAACATTACAGAATCACGTTATCAGTACCATTAGGGGGTTAATAATAGGGGAAACATCATACTAAACAGATTTAAACCAGCTATACAGATTGGGTTGAATAGATAAATATGGTGAAGTTGTACTCAAATTACAAAAAACAGTTAGCATTCAACCACAACAGGTACAACTACTCTGTAACGACCCGACTGGTCGTTTAGAGCAATTGCACTTTTCTCGGTAGTTTGAGGGCTCGAGTATCTTCGCATGATGTATTATGATTTACATAAATCGTCGGTGTTGGTTTCAAGTTATCCGGAATTGATCTGGAAGAATGAACTTCAAGATTTAAGCCTTGAGTTGGAAGAGTTGACCAAGTTTGACCTTTTAGTATTAGATCACAGAATGAAATTTCGTGAGTTCCGTTTGCTCCGTTGGGTGATTTTGGACTTAGGAGCGCGTCCGGATTGTTAGTTGGAGGTCCGTAGTCGAATTAGTCTTGCAATGACGGAAGTTGGATTTTTGAGAAGTTTGACCGGGAGTGGACTTTTTGATATTGGGATCGGATTCCGATTTCGAAAGTTGAAATAGATCCGTAATGTGAAATGTGATGTGTGTGCAAAATTTGAGGTCAATCGGACGTGTTTTGATAGGTTTCGGCATCGGTTGTAGAAGTTGAAGTTCCAAAGTTCATTGATTTTGACTTTAGGTGCGATTCGTCGTTTCGAGGTTGTTATGCATGAGTTGAAGTCCCGAGTAGGTTCGTTTCGTCGCATGGAACTTGTCTGCAAAATTTGGCGCCATTTGGAATTGATTTGATATGGTTCAGACGCTTGGTTGTGATTCTAGAAGTTCTTGAAGTTTCCTTTGATCTTCATGCATTTTGGCATCCGATTCGTGATTCTAGAGGTTATTTTGATGTTTTGATCGCCCGAGCGAGTTCGTGTGATATTTTTAAACTTGTGTGGGTGTTTGGTTTGGGGCCTCGGGGGCTCGGGTAAGTTTTAAATTATTTTTGTTAAAGTTTTGAGTGCTGGTTCTGGTTTAATCGCATTTGCGATGTTTTGGTCGCAAATGCGGCTATCGCATTTGCAAAGAAGCCTCGCATTTGCGAACCTGGACTGCTGGGCTGGAGTTCGCTTTTGCGAAGAATATCTTGCATTTGCGATGGCCCCCTTTTTCGCATTTGCGAAGCTTTTGGTCGCAAATGCGACTTTAGCAGGAAAGTCTCCAGTTCGCAATTGCGATATTTTGTTCGCATTTGCGGGGGTCGCATTTGCGTACCCCCTGTCGCAAATGTGACATCTGCAACCTGCTAAATGCTGAGAATTCCGAGACTTAGCTTCATTTTGATATATTTTTAACCCTAGCTTCGATGGGAGGCGATTGTGTGAAGAGAATTTCATACCAAATTATTGGGTAAGTGCTTCTAATCAATTCTCAATTACATTTCGTGATTTTGCACAAGATTTAACATCAAATTCATGAGAAATCTAGGGAACAATTTGGGATTTTTGTCAAAACTTTGAAAAATGGAAATATGGGATTTGAGAGTCAAATAGGACTCGGATTTGGAAACAAAATACATATTTGGACTCGTGAGGCTATGGGTAGTCAAGACCTACCCTTGGACTTGTGTTTTGACCGGGCGTGCCCGGGAGTTGACTTTTGAATAGGTTGACTTTTAGAAATTGAATAAAAATCACAGCTTTATTAATTAAAATTGTTTTCCTTGCATACTGTGATGTATTTAAGTCGTCTTTGGCTAGATTGAACCGAGCGGAGGTGGATCTTGTAAAGGAAAAGCTAAATTAATTATTGAATTAGCCGAATTGAGGCAAGTGTCTTGCCTAACTTTGTTGAGGGAGTTTTCCCTACTATTTGACATTGTTTGCTACATGCGGGGGTGATACATATATGAGGTGACGAGCATATATGCATGTGCCAGCATTAACCATGCTCGAGGGTAAATTATGTTATGAATTGTGTCTTGTACATTCACGTGATCTTCTTGCTTCATGCCTTACTTGATTCCTAGATACTAAGAATATAGTATTAAATGTTGGATACTAAGACTTAGTTCATTATGACTTCATCAAATTTGATGGAATTCTGAAATTACATTGATGTGTTTAATTCGGTTATCATAATGCATAATCATTAATACATTGCTACGGCCGATATTCTTAAGATACTAGATTTTACACTTGTGTTGTAGATCATTTGTGCGATTTGTTGGAATACTTGAAAAATAAGGTTCTTGCGGGTTTATTGAGCTATTGTTGGCTTGGGAAGTTGTGATTGGGATTCATTTGGAATATTCGTTTAAATACTCTCCTTGATGTTATTTATGCTTCCTGCCTTGTTTGTCATTGATATACATATGCTTGGTAAGGAAGAGTGTAAAGCACGAAGGGTGATGCCTTGCCATTGTTTATACATTATCATGTGAGAGAGAGTGTAAAGCACGAAGGGTGATGCCGTGCCATATTATCTGAGAGTAAAAGCACGAAGGGTGATGCCGTGCCATATTATCTGAGAGTAAAATCATGAAGGGTGATGTCGTGCCATATCATTTGTGAGTAAAAGCACGAAGGGTGATGCCATGCTATTTTATTTATATTATCATGTTTTTGTGTTATTGCGAGTTCATGGCACGTAGGGCGTTTCCGTGCAAGTGAGGACGAGGGACATGTATTATGTTGTGGTATCCTTTTCCTGCAGATATCGTCATGTCCTTACCTTGAATTGTTACTGTCGTACTTATGGTTCTTATATGACTTCTCGTCACTGTTCTGTCTTTATTCTCTATCTCAATTGCTGTTGTGTTGCCTAT